CCCCTCCCCCGACGCCCCCGTGGCCTCCTCCGCCGCACTGCAGCTGCACTCGGGCAGCGCGGCGCCAAGCAGACAGTCGGTTGCATTCCCCGTGGCGTTAGAAGCACCACTTTGCGCGAGTCTTAGGCTCACCCCTGCGCCAGTCTGCCCCGAGAGTTGCCACTTTCTCTCCTGCCGCAGCGGCAGGGAGCGCTGACCTACGATAAAGTGGGGCTGCACCATGAAGGTCTCTCCGCCAGCTCTCTTGTTTTATTTCCACTATAGACCCATCCCACCCTCTGCTGCCTCCCCACCGCAATGGGTCGAAGCATGAAGCAGCACCGAGGCATGCTCTCAGAGTTACAGTCGTCGCCTGCGGATTTATGAAATGTCCGGGGGGGCGGGCGAGAGGAAGGGACGGGCGAGGGGCGCTAGGACGAGGTCTAGAGTCTGTACAGAAAGGGGAGGGGGTGAACCGTGTCAAGCGACGGCAAGGTCGACTTAAACGACTGCACCCCTCCCCCTCCACCCCCGCTGCTGCTCGTCTTGTTGCAATCCCCGCCCCCTAACACAGGCAAGGCGACACGCAACTTCACACGCCCAGTTAAACTCATTACAACAGTTGGATTTCAATTTCAATTTCGCTTGCAGAATCCGAAACGATCCGATCCAGTTTGGAGCGCGTCGTCGTGCGGTTGCCTCGACCCGGCACGTCCTCCTAGCCCGTCCCCTTCCCCCCTTTCCCAACCTCCAGGCGCTGAAATGAGCTAAAGTTGGCAATATATCGCGAACATGAAGCCGCCACCGCCACCGACCCTCGAGATGAATATGCCAGTCACACACTCCACTGCTAAACAGGGCAGGAGGGGGTGGGGTGCAAGGCGGGTTGCATTTCGTTACCCCCACCCCCGAACCTCCCCGGCGCTATTCTCTGCTCTCCCCGCGCGGCCCCCCTCTCGGATATGAGTACATTTAATGGGCTATATGACGACCATCCCCCGCGGGGCCGTCCCTTTACGGCGCCCGGCTACAGTCGCGCTGGGGTAAGCTCGACCGCACCACCGCCCCGGGGCAGAGGCCTGCGAACGGCGCAGCCTCGGCGTAGCCTCCCGGGCACAGAGGCCTGCGAACGTCGCAGACACATAACCTCCAATCGCAAAACCGTACGACCAATCACGATCAGAGCCTCAGCTGCGCGCCACCGCCGCGCCGCAGAAACGTCTGCCATAACAATAAACCTGGCTTCGGCGACGACAAACCCTGGGGGCTGCGCACGCTTGCGCAGCGGCCACGCCCGCCGCTGCTCCGCCGGCCGGGCAAAGGCGAGAAAATAAACGGAGGCGGCGTCCGTCGGGTGGGCCGAGTGAGGGCGAGAGAGGGTGCGCCGAACCGGGCCCGGGCCGGGTGAGTAGTATTTGAACCCGAGAGCCCCGACGTTAGGTGCGCGCTCACCTCTGCCTTTGCGCTTCACACCCATGCGAGCCTCTCAGAGGGCCCTTTGACCCGAACCCTCTCTGAAGGGCACGGCAGGGCTCGGCGCGAGGCCGGAGCAGCTCACCTGCTGGGAGGAGGGGGTTGGGCAGGGCCCTAAAAGGAACCCGTCACGCTGTCACCTCGTTTTCGCGAGAGAATTTTGCCGCGCTCTTGTTTAATGTTTGATGTCTCTCTCTCACCCCTATCCACTCGCCGTGCTCACTGTGCTCTTCCCATTTCGCCACCCCTTCCCCCTCCTATCACCCCCACCACCCTACGCTCGCCTGCTGGCAAATGTTTCCTTTTTCACGCGCGCGTCCCCGCCCGGTCCCCCGGCGGTCCCTCTGCGCCGCGCCGGGCCACGCCGCCGTCATAGCGCTCGCCCCAACACGTCCCAGAAGACTGTGTTTATCTCACTCGCCCCCTCCCCGTCTCTCTTTCTCTCTCCCTCTC